ATTATTGATTTCGCAATATAGACGAGAGGTCAAATACAAAATTGTATAAGATAATATAACTTCGCAATAGTAACAAGAGGTTATAAAACAAATACAAAAATAACTTCATAATTAAGATGAGAGATTATGAAAAGACTATCTAAAAGATTATTAAAAGAATAAAAACTAAACTTGAATTGAACTAATTATTTTTCTAAGCTAAGATACAAGCTGTATTTATAAGTATTTGATAATTATAAAATAATCATTTGGAATAATCATTCGGAGCGTTTGAAATGATCATTTGCAATGATCATTTGGAGCGCTTGAGATGATCAGTTGGAATAATCATTTGAAATGATCATTCGAAGTGATCATGTGAAGCGATCATGTGAGATGATCATTTGTGATTATGAAAATATCTAATCACAACAATATATGAAACAGATCTTTCTTCAAATACTACTAATTGTTCAAATTGCAATTATTTATATATAAAAAAACATAGTAGAGCTGAGCATTTTTCTTTTGGGAGATGTATCCTCTCAAGATCTGGTATTGTTAAATTCAAAAACTTTTTGTAGAAATTATCAATGAAATTCTTATTAAAACTGACAAAAAAATAATGTAGCTTAATAGAGGAAGTTCACTGTCTCGTAGAAATGGAGAATGACTTCACTCTAAGAATTTATAAACAATTAGAAGAGATTCCAGTAAATTATAAAGAATATATATCTCAGTCTGTTCTTGATTATAGAAAGAACTTGGTATTAAGCAGGAAATCATTTTCATTTGCTAAGAAATCCAAATTTTTGTTTAAAAAGGAAGATGGAACTGGAATTTATTCATTACATGTTCAGAAATATGCAGCATTATCTATTCTATCAGATAGGCATCCTTACTGGCCTGCAATATTGAAAGATAATACATTTAAATTTATGAGAGAATGTAAAACTCATCTGGATACATGTTTTAAATAAAAGAAATATTTAGCTAATGAAAAGGATAAGTATGCATATGATCTATGTATGCTCATCTTTAGATTAATGAAAATGTATAAATTGCATGATGATGTATATTATATGGATACAGTTACTTGAGGTGCCTTCCATGTACTCACCTTCCATGATGTAATTGATGCAGATATTGCAAGTGATAAAATCACTCTCATCTTAAAAATGGTGACATGATGATTATAACCACTGTTTTGCAAGTTCAGAAATATGCGAATTATATCTTTGAAAATGGATTATAAATTATAATAGTGACATATCAAAGTTTGATGGTCCAATTCAGAGATTATGATATTCAAAATATTTATATAGAAGAATATAAAATGATGCAATTTGATTTTCTTCAAATGGTTAAATATATTAAATATATGATGATTGTCTGATTCATTGGATATTTAAAATAGGTAACTTGAAAAAACTTTTCAAGAATGCCAGACAGCCTTTAATGTGAGGGGAGCAATTCAAAACCATGTTAATATTGGTATGTGCATGAATTTCCGTAATCTGAGTTCAATCGTTATCTTCAACAATCTCGTATTCAATACAAAATCCATTGCATATAGAATGAATGATTTTGACTTTATAAATAGTTCTGAAAATACTATCCATGTTAGAATGGCAGACAATGATGAGAAATCTGGAGAAGAATTTCATTCAGCAATGAATGACTTTAATGACAAAATGGACTGCATTCTCTTAGTAATCAATAAAAAGAACTTAATTGATGAGTGGATCTCTGATATACAATACCCCAAAAAGTATTATCTGATTTTTATAAAAAATAAAATTTTCAATTTATTTTATTTCTGCTTTATATACATAAAAATTTTTTGTTATCATTAACTAATACATTACTCACCCTCTATATGGCTTCCATATCATTTCAATTTCTTATGGCATCAAGCTCACATCCTACCCCAAACTAACACATTACATTTTGACTACACTTTCTATAGAACATGTTCACAATTTTTGAAAAGCTTTTACACTTTAGAATATTGTTTTACAATGGTTTCTAAAATTAGAGCTACAAATTAATATGAGATAGTTAATATTTAGAATGAATATTCAAAAAGTTATATATAAGTTTAAAAAATATTTACAATTTTAATTCACTTTTAGTTATGTTATAGTAAACATTTCAATAATAATCATAAACTATGATTTTAAGCAAAGTTGTAGCCAGAAATAAGTGCTCCAAATTGATATAAAATAGTTGTTATTAATAATAAATATTCAAATAGTTATAGCATTTATGATAAAATTTAATAAATGTAAAAATGAAAATACTTTAGTTGTCACTAATCTTTATTAAAATAATATTAGCTAATATATATTAGTGCTCTTATTATACCGTATACTCACCCGAAAAAGATCTTTACCTCAATATTAACCATTTTGTGTTCATGATAAATTGTTTGATGTCTTTACTGATATCAACATCAACCCGGTTTCATAGTGTTTTCTGAAACTATAGTAATAAGCTTTACAAAAGGCAAAATAATTCGTCAGAAAAAACAGTGAATGGTTAATTCAAAAAACAAAATTGTGATCTATCTGTTTCCACACAAAATGTGATTTGCGATTGCGATTGCGATTGGCGGCACTGAACGCGCGTTATAAATAACATGATTGAAAAAAATACGTGTCTTTTACCGATAATACCATTTTTCACTATATAAATAACAAATAACGTGAACATGAAATCAAAAAAAGAGAATAGTAGTTTTCGTACTGAAGAACAACAACAAAATGATAATAACACGACGACGAAAATAACAACCACCAATAATACATTAACTCAAGAAGAAACTATTAATCCAACTTCGCAGCCATCATTAGAAAAAACCTCTTCTTTCACAACAACAAAAGCCAATGACAATAACAATAATAGTCGATTTGTTACACCTTCGGGAGGTGGTGCCCAATTAGCAGTGATCCGGGATTCACCAAATAATCCGTTTGGACCTATTGCCGTTTCAAAGGAACTAATATCATTACGTGCTGCTGGCGGCGATCCGGAAATTGAACGTCGTAAAAGACGTGAAACTGTTAAAGATATCGAAGCAGGATTTGATATAGGTGGCTTTATGATCTGTATAAGAGATAATCAGAAAGTAATCACGGAATTGAAGTATAGCGACGATATTAGTCCAATTTCACACTCTTCGAAACTATTATGGCCTTCTAATTTTCAACAAGATGATAGTAGTATTGACTCTGCAAGTAATAAAGACGAGTCACATCAGCCAGTAACAGCAATAAGTGCAAGAGAAGAAACACTTCAAAAGGAAGAAAATATGCTAAAATCCGCTAATGTCTCGTCTAGCATGGGAAAATCAGTTTCTTCCATCATTTCAACACATGAAGAAGTTGCATTACTCGAAAAAGAAAAACATCCAGAAATACTCAAAAATTCAACTAAGATCATCCAAGGAAAATCGACTCCAATTGGGGTCATCTCTAAATCTGATAACAACTACACACACACGGAAATAGTCGTCAATCAAAATACTACAAAATCTGACAGCAATAAAAGGAAAGGATCTTTTTTGGACAGTGAGGAGGAAGATAACACAACCAACACAAATATTCGCAAAAGAATCAAAAAGTCCGCTAAGAACAAACAAAAACAGAGAGAGGAAAAAGTTGCAGTTAAAAGAAAACGGACTGAAGAACTCGATTACTCAAGCGAAAGTCGAACAGACTTTAACGCTTCAGATGATTCTTTGGAAGATGAAAAATGCAAGAAACGAGAAAGTGCTGATCAAAAACCTCCATCAACTCCTCCTGCTTCAAAATATTTGTCATCATCAACTCCCCCTCCCGCTCCAAAACGAGATTCACCAAACAATCCATTTTTAGATTACGACGGTTCTTTACGACATCCCCATGAAAGCTCATTAAGCACACCTCCTTTAGATTACTCGACACATAAAGTTCGTGTCCATGAAGCGCAACATCAAATGGCATATGTATTTCGTGGAGTTCGATTTCCCATCCCAGCAACTTTTTATAATGATGACGATGACCCAAATGATCCAATAGGACCAATTCAACCACGAAATCTTCTTGCTACCTTCCAACAACAAGATTCTGATGATGACGACGATTATACTAAATCGCGTGCATTGGCCGACTCTTCCAATGATCCTCTTCTCGGACCCGATAAAAATGAAATCGCAGAAGATTCGGAAAATCCTTTCGCTGAATCTGATGAAATTATTCATATCGATCCTAATGATAAGACGTCAAAACGTATCACCGAATACGCTACTATTGGTAAATTACGCAAAAATCCGTCGATGAGCAATCCAAATAGCAAAAAGAAGGCCCAATAAAGGGTCCTGATATAATATCGATATAACCTTTTTTTCATTTTGTTTTTATATTGCTATGTGTAAAAATTGTTAATATACATAATTATTTTCTTTATATGCGTTAGTAAAGACTAGATTTAGAAGGACATTTTGCTATAACGATAAATAATGTTAGCTAGCATTATATGAAGATCATTTTATAATCACATTTTGACGATGATTTTTCTAATCAACATGAAAATATTTTTATTTTAACGCCGAGTGTGGCCATTTATTTTCCTAGTTTCGAAATAGTATACTTTAAGAAAAAGTGTAGGTAATTTGGTATTACGGATTTTTATCGTCAAGAAAACCTTGGCAAAATACTAACTAAACCTACAAAAAAAGATCTTTTTGTGTTTTCAACAAAAAAAGCAAAGCATTAATTAGATAAATAATGATGAAAAAACTTCTATTGATCACTTTTTGGGTCTTCAAACTCTCAAAAAAAAAATAGAAATGAAAATTTTATTGAATCAAACCTCTAAGAAGTTCTGAACATACACAAATATTTTGATTTTTGCTTTTTCTTTAATCATTTACAATCATTACAATGATATTGTTACTGATTGCGATTTTTTTGATTTTCTAACAGTAGGAATCAATAGTAAATTCCCGGCTATAATGAATGGTACGTATAATTAACAAGAATAATATCCATGTTAACAATTCGAGATGATTATACACTATAAAATTCAATCTGTCAATCCACTGAAATAGATGTTGAAAAAATTAGTCTTATATTTTATGATCGATAATAATATATATCTAAGAGAATTCTCTTTTTTTTTGCTAATTTTATAACTGTTTATTATTTAGATCTATTTGAATCGTCGATTTAATTTTTTTTTTTGAGAATAAACGATCAACTCTAAATTTATTTCTTGTTTCTTCAATCCCTTCAATCATGTTAATTATTAATAGTATCAAGAATAATAAAATAATAAAGAATTCTGTACTCTGATTAAATTTTCTTTTTTATTGTTTTATCATTACTTGAAATAATAATAATTTTATTTTATCATCGAAAATCAAAATAACGTCATCTCTAATCATTATTATTGTTGTAACCATTGTTGAATAACAGATTTCAATTCTTTAGTTTCGATATTGGTGGTGCCATTACTATCCACCTTTGTTGTCGTAGAATTCAAGCATTTCAGAATCACGAGAGTTTCGTTTCGATCTGGGTTTAGTAATTCCCGATCGAATCTGTTGTTTCAAATAAGCAACTTTTAATAATTTTCATGTAAAATATCATATATAAAATAATAATATAAACCTACCGCGTCAAATACTGCGTGACCAATGCTTTAACTAACAACAACTGAGGAGAAGCACCAGCCGCAGTAGCAGCAGCACTAACTTCCGGTTGTTCAACAACACACTCAATATCCTCGATACTCTCTTTCCAGATATCAATGGTGGTTTTCTCGTAACCATCTCGTTCTAATTTTATTTTGATGAAATTTTCGTGTAATTCGACTGAGCAATTTGGGTGAAGGAAGGTCGCGTTGTTCGGACCGAATGCTATCGATATCAATTTTAGGGTGATTGGATATTCTGATGATGATGATAACGACGAAGGGTCAGCATCTATCGTAGTGTTGGTGGTAACACGAGGAAGATTTGAGGTGGTAGCAGAAGTAGTAGTGCTAGTAGATGAAGAAGTCCCAATCACTGTTGCTGTTGTTACTGATGGTGTTGTTGTATATTGTGGAGAACGTATCGGAGAGCTAAACATACCGGGGGAAGTTGGGTCTATGTGCATAATAGTAATAAAAAAGTTAGAATGGCTAATTATTATTTTTTGCATAATTAATAATCACCTGGTGACTCTGCTAATTCACCGCCAAGTATTGTACCACCGCCACTTATAGACGATGAACCTACTTGAATGGCAGATTCACCACCTAATCATAAATAACGGCAAATATTCAAATCTAAACGAATAATTGGAATTATCGAGAATGAAAAGATTTAAAAGAAATACTTTTTGAATTTGTCCCTTTTTTCGAAATAGAAATTCTCCTCCCCCGATTAGTCTTTTGCGTCTTGTTACCAGTATTCGGATCTTCATCGTCCGTAAAAGTTCCTTCTTCACTATGAGAAGTGCCGGATTTCTTTATCGACACGGATAATTTCCTTTTTCCCCTTTGGGTAGTAGATGTCGATGCAGTAACTTCACTTCCTCGATTCCTGGGTGCTGTAGCATTCGTGCCGCTTAGAATTTTGCCTTGTTTCCATTTGACGCCGCACGCATTGCAGAGAGTTCCTAATTTAAACAATTAAATATAAATGATTTCATTTTATAATATTTGTGAGACTATGACTTACCAGCACCATCAGGACCTCTTCTCCACATTGGAGTACTTTTGCATCCACAGTATGCACACCGCTTATTCGCAGAACTTGTGCTATGTGTAGAATGTGATGATTCAGTGGCCGTTAGTTCTGGAACTGATTTAGATTTTTTCGGGGAAGATGAGCCAGCTTTCGATGTTGCGGAAGCTATAAGTATATACAAATTTAAATACGTGATTTGATAAATTTAGAATTTCTGATAATACTGAAGAAATAAATTGAGACTTACTAACCTTCAGGAAGTTTAGAAATTTTAGCCTTCTTGACTTGTCGTGGTTCAGGCTGCAAAAAAAAATTATCAATGTCGTTAAAGGAATTTGTTAAATCGTCATATATATAACAATATATACTTCTTACCCCATCAGATAAAATCTCTTCAATATCAATTTCCTTCTCTTTTCCCTTTCTATTACTTGCTCTCTCTTTTCCTTTATCTTTCTTGTCGTCATCTTTTTCTTTATCTTTAGCCTCTTCTTTTTCCTTTTCTTTGTCAGCTTTTCGCTTTCTGGGAGGTGGTTGCACGGTCTCCATTTGTAGTGTACCGTCAAGCTTGGACACTCTTTGCGCGATCGCCTATATATAAATATTAGTTGAGTATACGGAGTAAAAGAGTTTATATCTATTATATTTTTTGTAATTCTTACTTCTAATAATTCATCGGGATATTCGCAGGGTAATCGATAATGCATATAGACACGTGGAGGGTTATATGCTATCTAATTCAAAAAAAAGAAAACTCAAACTTAATAATTTATTTCTAGTCATTATTTGTAATAAGAAAGCTTTTATAACCTTTGGGAGCATTGATTGATAGGTCAATGATGCTTCATTCGTTGCCCTTCGTAACGCATCCCATATGTTTTGTGATACGTGAGTCAGTTGCATAATCACAGCTTGGTGTTTCTGACGGGACGGTTTTTCTTCGTGCGGTGTAAGATAGAAAGAAGCAATAACCTGTTTTAGATGATTTACCAAATTCAGCATCTTTTTATTGAAATTATTCTTGAATAAATAAAATGATGATCCAATACCTCAAATGGAGCCATTGATGATGTGGCTTCAAGTATCGCATCCTTTGGAAATATCCAACGATCATATTTATTTTCACGAAATTCGAATATGATTTCATGCCTTACAAATTGTCGTTGAGGTCTTGTAGAGGAAATTTGAGCGGTGGATCGAGAGTGTTGAAGTAGAATTGATGTTCTTGCTGATGAGGATGCAGAAGAAGCCGATGATATTTGAGGTGTCAACATAGTTTTAGGCTGAATTTGAGTCGGGGTTCGCGACATTTGAGTTTGGTTTGTAGCGGGCGCTATTGGAGTTGGGATTTGTGCAGTTGGAGCAATCGGTTGTGGTGACTGGAGTATTTGAGATGCGGGAACATTGACTTGTGGTTGAAGATGTTGAGTGGAGCTTAATAGTTGATGGAGTGCAGTCAATTGTTGAAGAAGAGCATTACGTTGTTCCAAATTTAAAGGGCTGCCTGATTGCTGTTGCCGAAGAAGTGCTTGTAGTGCAAGAATTTGAGTTGGATTTACTGATTGTAAAACAGTTTGCATAAAAGACGTAAGCTGTGGAGTTGCTTGTTGGGGATTTGTATTAATATTTGTAGTTTGATTAGAGGAAGGATTAATATTTCCATTGGTAACAGATGATGTGGTACTCGTCGTCGTCGGTGATGATGATGATGTTGCTGCTGCTGCCACGTTTGATGGTAAAACAGATGAGAATGTAGAAGTATAAGGTGTAGTAGATGTAGTTGCAGGCGAGGCAGGCAAAGGTGCCACAGGTCTTGTAGATGATGATGAGGATGAGGATGATGATGAACTAGTTGTGGGCGCAACAGGTCGAACACGCGAATAAGATGATGAACTGCGTGGACTTGTAGTTGTTACTTGCGGAAGTGGCGTTTGCTCTATAACTACTTGTGGTTGCGGTGGTAATTGTATATTCGGAGCTATTGGTTGCGGACGTATTGATATTGGCGTGGGTGGTGGTACTGATCTTTGCTGCTGCTCCGCGTTTTGTACCAAAGAACCTGTCGGAGTTGCGGATGCTGATGTTATTGTTGCAATTTTTGAAGAAGATAAAGAAGTTGACGGTTTCGACGATGATGACTCTGGTTCAGGATTTAGTTGGAGTTGTTGTGGCACTGATGCAGGAAGAGCAGGTAGCTCTTCTTTCTCATAAATCACCTCTAAAATCCTTGTATCATAAAAAGTATGCGGTCCTATATTGATATGACACTTTCCCAGCGAAGTTATCGTCGGATTTGGTTTTGTATTTTCCGGTAAATGTGGTTTATATTCAATTTCGTGCTTATGTGAGAACTTTGTAAATATTGAAGAAGTCCATGCTTGACGCGATTGAGCGAGGGATAAAAGAACAATACCGCTATAAATAAATTATTCAAGAAATAAGTTTAATTTTCACCTTGTAAAGGGCTTTAATTGTGCCTTTTCGAAGATCAATAATAATAATAGAAGCCATTTATTTCATGACAACCTGTCCTTGTAGTTGTGCAGTGGTTTTCTGTCGTCCGGTACCTGAGGTTTACTTCCAACAGGAAGAGGTAACGCTGATTTCAGTGATTCAGCCCTTCTTCGACTCATTTCTAACTTTTATTCTATTCTAAACTTATGTTACAAAACGATCGGTACACAATCCACCTTGCAAAGCCAACGATCTGTCGAAATGTATATAGATTTGACGCCAGAGAGTGGTCCCTTACTTCGAAAATTATGCTGTTTCGATACACTTTTTAGATGTTACACAAATCAAAGAATATAAGTATGCAATTCATGAAGTTAATTTCTGCTCATAATGTGTAGTCGTCCTAGTTTTCTAATTTCTAGTACTTCACTGGCGATACTTGCAAAAAGGTCAAAAAAAATAAGCATTATTATTGTTACAATGTAAAGTCATTTTCGTTGAAGGGTAATAGTTATTTATTTTCGTAAAGAGACCGAAAGCAAAACTTTTGCATGTAAATTAAATCATTATTTAGAACGACGACCCTTCAAACACGCGTTTTCATGGCAAAAAGTAAAAAATCGAGTTCAAGTGAGAAAACAAAAACAAAAGATTGTGTTGTTTCTTCCACTACTACCACGTCTTCAGGTCCAATATCATTAATATCCGAAGGAAGCTTAAAGATTTCTCTGTTAGTGAAGCCCGGAGCCAAAGAATCACGCGTTAGCGATATTTCGGGGGATCATATCGGAGTACAAGTTAATACGTTGAATTTATTTTAAAAGTTATTTTCCCTACCTATAATTATTAAATTGTATGATTTTTCAAATTTCGTCGTAAAGATTGCAGCCCCTCCTAGAGATGGCGAAGCAAATAAGGAAGTAGTGTCATTTTTAGCTCAGGTAATACTATTAAATTTTCAAACAAGAAAATCATTCAATTTTTACTTATTTGGAAATTTATCTTCCCTCCCGGTCGATCGTGTTAATAAAAGATACTCCAAACACGAAAAACAGATGTTTCTATAATATCTGGTATGAAGTCTCGCGAAAAGGTGGTGAGAGTAGACGGTGGCAGAGACTTGTCAATAGAAAAGATACGAGAATTACTGGAATCTAATATCCAAGAATAGCGATAGAGTACAGATCTATGATTGTATAACAATGACAATGACGTTAATAAATAGAATGAAAAGTAACTGGAAGTACTTTACTTTTTTTCGAAAAACTAGAAAAACTACCAAACTCTTTCTCTGGCAGAAAGAGAAAATAAAGTAATCTAACATTCATTTAACACACAAAAAAATTAAATGGCAAGTCAAGAACCATCGCCATACTTACTTAGAGGAATATGGAGCACACGTAAACTGTACATTTATGCAACAGCTTTCATAGCAATCTTTATAATTTTTTTGCTGACCTCTCCGAAAATAGTACCAGACTCCATTTTGGAACACACTGTAATAGACGATGAGGGAAATGTGTTTAGTCCATCATCTGAACAAATCACAAACGATTCTCCTATAAATGAAACAATTACTCCAGTAGCAGGAAATGAAGAAGAATTCCAAGAAGCAACTAATGAAATAGATTCTGAAGAAGAAGAAGAGGGATACTATAAATTTTTATTGCTGATAAATTCAAATATAGGGGATTCTTCGAGACGAAAATTAATTAGGGAATGGGTGTTTGGGATTCGGGATACTCTTGTACCGTTTAATAGTGGACAAAAACAAAAGTCGATTTATTATCGATTTTTGACGCGAAAAAGAGGGTCGTTTAAAAAACATGAGCAGGAGATTCGGCGTGAATTTTTGTCGGAATTTATAGAGTTTGATGATATAGTTGAACTTGAATACGATGAAAAAGAGGAGGGATGGCAAGAAGTTACGCTTAGATGGGTATTTATTTTTCTGATTTTTCTATTAACATACGATTTATCAATTTTATTAATTCGTGGATTCTTTAATTTATTTTATTAAAAAAGTCAAATAGCCTTGATATCACATATGATCATCTCGTTGTCATTGATATCCATACACTAATAAATTTTGAAAAATTACAACAAATGATCTCTGGCTCGTTAATAATACGCGGGCAGCAAGCTCTGACACGTGAGCAAAAAGACAACCTATTATGGGGCTCATTTTCCAATCTGGATGCCGACGAAATGGCAGTAGTAATTGGATCAGCAGCAGTCGATACAATTATGGATTCTTTGTTTGAGATTTCCGAGTCTCCCATTGCTGAAAGCATTAACTCTTCTAATGTATTAACTAAAGCTTATTACTACTTTTCCGATCAAATTCACAAAGCAGAGACAACTATTCCGATCCATCTGATAAATGATAATTCTGGGATCGTAGAATGGCCAAATGCAATTGAGTCGGTTTCTCCAGAATCGACAATTTTTGTTGGTCATATCTTTCAAGATGGTGAATTTGTGGAATTAGTTTCGTGGCTAAATGTTTCGAAAGCATTTATTCGCAGTCCGCCACCACCAATTCGCTCTGATGAGAGTGAAAATAAAAACGGCAGTTTATCAATTGCAATCGTCACTAGTAGTTTTGTCTACAAAGACATGTGCATGGTTGATGCCGTTGTTCCAGCAGCCGATAATAAACGTGAATACGCAGAAAAACACGGATACTATTTTGTTCCCAGATCTGCAGAATTTGCTCAACAAACACTTCGACATCGAAAAACAGTCTGGGGTAAGGTTGATGCTGTCGAAAAAACCTTACCACACTATGATTGGCTTTTTTGGGTAGACATGGATGCTGTGATTTTCAATCAAGAAATCACTATTGAAAGTCTACTAGAAAATTTCACATCGATTGTTGGAGGTCCTGAAGCTTTCAGCCAAAAACATTTTATTGTTGCTAAACCAATAGGCGACAAGATGATTAACGCTGGTGTGTTTTTATTGAGAAATTCAGAGTGGAGTCGAAGGTTTTTGAGGGAGGTGCAGGGTCGAAAAGATCAGTATTTTGGAAAATTCTTCGAGCAGCGTGCTATGTGGGATGTAATAAATGAAGATGAATGGAAAGATGGGGTATTTATATGTTTGCCAAGTTGTTGACATACTTTATACTATTATTATGTTGCTTATTGTAAAGTTTATTTTATAAAAATCATATATAGGCTTTACTTTTGTTAAATGACGATCATACATTCAACACATTCCCGAAAAGATACAAACATGGAGATTTTATAGTACACTTTGCGCCTGATGGGTGTCCTGCAGCCCCCGTAATTGAAGCTCTTAACAAATTACAAGATGGTCCAGAATTGCAAGAGGATCAAGATGATCCAGAATTGCAAGAGGATCAAGATGATCCAGAATTGCAAGAGGATCAAGATGATCCAGAATTACTAGCTGATCAAGAATCACTAGATCCAGAATTATTAGAAAGTAACTTTCGAATATAGCATTGAAATTAATTTATTTAATTATTTTCTCAAGACTTTTTTGTACAGTAAAATTCATTTTTAATATTTTTAATACTATTAATAAATTTCATAATATACATTTGTTGAAGTTGATCTGTATAACTGACATTTTTCTGGTTGCGCTTTTAATCCTGTGATGAGATGTTATAGATTTTAACCAGCAACAAAAAATAACGAATACCTTCATTCATCCACTACGACAAAAGACATGTATAGTATGAACGATCTCATTAGTTTGATCGAGACTTGACGGTTTATTTTTATGATCGCTTCGGTGCCATTCAAATATCCATCAATTATGTTAATTATAATTATTCAAAGCAATATAATCATAAGGGCACTGCCGAGAACCGTCCTCGGTTGGAACATGAAAACTCCAAGGCTCGCAACACAACTCATATAATTACCCCTTGATAAAATATCCCCTTGATAAAGTACCCTGGTACTAATCTCGGTTACAATTTGAGTAGAATGTAAAGTACCCCCCTTCATAATTCCTGAAATTAGCATTATTCAGGCCAAAACTAGTGTAATCTGGGCCAAAAGTACGACTTCCATGTTAAGTATTCCCCGTATAATATACCCTCCTCTTCACAAAGTACCCGGTGGTTACTAATCAATTTTTGAGCCCCTAGAATGTAAGAGACCCGGGGTACTAATTGCCGAAAAATACGGTAGTCAGTGTCCTTGTTGGCATTATCAGCGAAATCCTCGCTGTATTTTGCTAACCGCAATTTCTTTAAAGACATTTAAACTCCATTCGGCGTTCCGTTTTTTAAAAAAGATCTACTTTGATATTTGGTGGACATACGAATCTAAGAGTTGCGAGTCCCAAATTCTTTGCTCCCAGGGAAGTGACGTGTTTTTGTGGTGCGTTAAAACTTTAAAAGTCAGAATGCTCTCCAGAAGAAAAACGATTATTATTATTACTATTCGTTAAACACGAAACCAATGATATACTCGAACCAAATTACTGTGCATCGATAATTTAATTTATTTCGCATCATAGCAAACGCGTAATATATGAGAGCTGCTCATTCTCTACATAATGCATCACGAATTACTTTCAGCCTTATGCGGTGTTTCGGGTGATTTATTTAATCCTTATCCACCTCAGCCTAGTATTCCTGTACTCTTTAAAATACCACCAGACTTCAATTTTCTACACGAATCGGAACGTGACGCGCTGGAGCGACTTGCTGAATTGGGCTTTCATTATCGTTGTATTGTTAGTTTTATAAATAAATATCGCGGCATAAATTCTGCTGTTTTCATTAGCACAATAGAAACTGAAACTTTTCTTCGTGGCTCTTTTTCTGACGCTTTGTGTAACGCGCTCAATGCCGTCCTTTCTGAGTATCAACAACTTGTCTTCGAATCAGAAGATTATATTCTTGAGGAGGACGGAGTGATACCCGTTGCTCATATGGTTTCAAGATTTTCAGACTATCATGTGATTTTATCAACGCTTCATGAACTTGTGGATGAATTAGAAGCGAATCCAATCAAATATTTTGGATGTCGTATTCTCAACTTGTTAGTTGCAAAGTGCAAGACAGGAGTTCCGAAACTTCGTGAAATAATGTTCAAACTTGTACATGCTTGTCATCTCGTTATGTATCAGCATATATCCTCCTGGATGGTTTATGGGTATTTGCAAGATTCATTTGGTGAATTTTTCATCAAGGATGAATCCATTATAAACAAGCAGCAACAACAGAAATCACAAGAAGTATTCTTGGATGAAGAAGACAACGAAAAGCGAAGGCATCAAGAATTTTTCATTGATGAGTCATTAATTCCTAACTATATACCTCATAAGATTGCAGACTCTATTCTATTTGTCGGAAGGGCAATCGCGACTGTAAGAAATGCAGATCATTCATACCGTAATAAAAGCATGTTGCCTCGTAACTTAAGTTCGATGCATCTTCAATATTTATTGGAACTTTCATCTAAACCCATTTTCAATGATTCTGAGTTAGACAATATTATCAGTATTATAAGGAATAATGTGGCTCAATGGTTATGGCAAGTAGTATTGACAGGAGATAGGGTCATTGAATGCTTGGAAGCTTTCAGAAATTACTTCTTATTGGGTCAAGGTGATTTTGCACTTTCTCTTATACAACAATTTGAGAAACTGATAAATTCACGATTGATATCAACACGAGCGCCTATTGTTAAAGAGCAAGAATTAAACTCTCTGCTTGTTCTTGCTTCTGTGGGAACTTTAGCTGAAAATGATCTCATACTTGAAAAATTCAGATTCAGACTGGTGAATTCCGATGATCAAAAAAGATCATCGACGAGTATTTTATTTGATGATATAGTGATTGGAATTCCTCTTAGACTAGAATATCAAGTAAATTGGCCATTGGATTTATTTGTTACTTCTGAAGATCTGATGAAGTACGGAGACTTGTTCTCATTCTTAATATCATTGAAACGCACGCAATATCGTCTACATAAAGCGTGGGTGCATCTTTCGACTCTACGTAAATCAATTGATTCAAGAAATAATAGCGAGTTACCATTAACAACATGGAGAATACGAGCATCAATGATGTTTTTTGTTGAATGTATATGGAGCCATGTACAGGTTTGTTACGTTATAATCATGTTAATTTATGCCAAACGTTAAATGAATTATGTCTTTATGCTTTCCTCAAAGATGGATATCATAGAATCCAATTTCCAAAAATTGATTCATCAAATAAGCGTTTCATCTGCACGACATGCTTCCTCACATTCATCAAATCAAACTCCTAGTACTCCAATTTCAATCATAAATCCAGAAATAATGAAATTCAAAGAACAAAAACCCGATACTAAAACGGAATCTCTTCAGGATTTTGAAGAAATCCGATTAGGACATCAATCTTATCTTAATGATATCCAACGAGGATGTCTTCTTGAATCACGTGTATGCGCGGAAACAATTAAAAAAGTGCAGAGTATATGTGATCGTTTTTGTGCGATACTAGAAAGATGGGATGGGCGAAAAGATGATGAAAGATTAAATCAAATTAATCAATTAAATGGGGTAAGTTCAATATTTTTTTCAGTGTATAATGTTTTTTACTCATTTTTTTTGTTACTTTAAACTTCAGGCGTTTCGTGATCAAGTGAATTTCTTATTTCGAACACTTTCTGGAGTTAATCAGACTCCTGATGGGATTGGTGGACCTCCAAGACATTTGGATCAATTACTATTGCGCTTGGATTATAGCAAGTGGTTCTCTGTATGGGACAATTAATTAAAATTTGATATTACGTGGAATTCATTAATAACAAGCGGAGAGTAATAATACTATATTTATATATTTATTTATGAAACCTTAATTATTAAAAAATTTACAGTTCAACTTCTAGATTAATAATTTTATTGAATAATGTTATTAAAAAATTTACAGTTCAACTTCTACATTAGTAATTTTATTGAAATCGAAAATTATAAAACGCGCTGCAGCCAAATTAGCAAAAATTACATATATTTATTTTCTTAAAGAATGTCACAACAGCAGCAATTGCCAACCTCAGTTACTAAAAAAGAAAAACATAAAAACAAAAAAGCAGTTAATCCTACAACTTCTAACTTGGGAGGAACACCTGAGAAATCACTAACCAGCGCAAAAAGTAAAAAGAGTGGTGGCTCTGGCTTCAGTTCTGGAGGAGGGGGTGGGAATACTACGACCACTACGACTAGCATAGAACGTAGTACTGGTAGCAAGAAAACCAATACTACTGACGCAACTGCTGCTGCTTCACATACTGGCACTACGTTACGTGCCATTGATAAACAACGACGGACAGTATTCAAGGCGGTATTAGACTCGCCATTTACTATAACCTGGTATTTATCGAGTTCTCTTTTGTCGTGTTCATTATCCAATGTATAATTAAAATACTTTATTTCGGTAAAGGCCTACTATATCAAAACCAGATTTAGAAATTATTTTGGAAGCTTTATGCAGGTAGATTTTCGATTACCAGCTACTTGATTTATAAAAAGAAGCAAATGCACCCATCTTTAATAAAAAACATGTCATTTTGTATTTTCCGAATTTGAATATAGGGTGTTATCATGTATCGGTGAATATCGTCTCAAAAAGCGATCATATAAAAGATCGGTCAATAAAAAAAAGAAGCAAGCACTGATAAATAAAAAAGAGAAAGAGGAGGACCGAAAGGAAATAGAACCTCCTAATAATAACAATGAGCTTATTACTACTAGTGACTATATGGATATGGATGTGGATGCGATCAATGAAAAAAACACGTCATCCGAATTGGCTCAATTATCGTCGTCAATATCTAAACAAAAAGAAGTGAATATTTCAATTTCTTCTCCTGCTTTTGAAGAACCACCTTCGATTTTTTTTTCGTTAATATTTGGAATCAACGCGGTAACAAAGCATCTCGAGCAAACTACGAGCTCTCATATACAAATATCAACTTTTTATCATCATTCTTCCTCGCAAGTACAAAAAAAAGTAAAACATGATAATAATACGAGTAATGCTATTAATGATGTTACAACTAATGATGGTGATGATAATAAAGTCAACAAATTAAATTTGCGACTGATATTCGTTGCAAAAAGTGACATCACACCTGGTCATCTGTACGCTCATCTACCAACCATGGCAAGCATACACGGAGGGAATCTCTTACTTGTTCCATTGCCAAAAGGTGCATTACAACGACTAGGAAAAGTGACTGGGATGAAATCAGTTTCATGTATTGGAGTTTTAGCAAATGATGCGCCTGAACTGAATACTCTTTACGAACTTGTAAAAAGCAAAATAGAACCAGTTAGAGCTTCTTGGTTGGATCCTATTCGAAAAACATTTGTGCGTAAACGAAAGTTTGAGGAAGAGGAGGATCGAATTAACAATAACATGACAGCTTCATCTGAAAGTGTCATAAAGGATGCTGCCAGCATCGTCTCGGCAAATAGTAATAATGTTTATGTGTCTACTAGAATAAAACAGCTTATAACAACTGCACCAATAAGGAACCCGAGGAAAGGGAAGGAAAAAGAAAAATCTGTTTCACAAAAAAATACTCAACAGCAGCAAAAAGTTAGCGATAATAACAATAATTCACAACAAAAGAACCCTAAAAAGAGGAACCACAACCAAAACAATCACAGAAATAAACCCAATTAAGAAACAAAATAAATAACTCTGCTCATTTATTATTATTATTATTATTGTCTTATCTAAAATTGTTTTGTAAGAGCAAATAAATATTTAAACTGAATTTTCTATGATGATCTTTAGCGGCGATAATAATGACGTTTGAAATGGAAATGTAATTGAAGAACGCCACGATCAAAACTTGATTTGAATCCTTTTTTGTGAGAATATTCCCATTCACGATTAACTATACGGAATGCAATGTCCTATAATAAAAATGCAAAACATCAATCAATTAATAAAATAAATAATATATGGCTTCATCTCTTGCTTATTCCTATACATATTTATAGTTACCTCATACGGTGGTCCTGCAATAAACCGAATGAGCACAGTGTCGGTATTTCCATGCTCACGTTCAATCTTATAGGTGGGTGCTTTTGTCTTGTCAATCAGATCCGGATAAAAGATATTGAATTTATATCCTTGCACCACTTTCGGCGGTGGGTTATCACTGTCGTAGTGTGTCTGGTTGTATTTGTTCCATTCGTATCCGGTGTGCACACGGTTGAAGTATCGTGGTTTTCTTGGACGATATTTGTCTTGCCATAAGTATGTCTATTAATAGGGAATTTAAGTAATGGATAAGTTTGTAATATTGAAATATAATTTAATCATAGCGTACATACCGTCTTTGCCAATTCTTCTTCAATATTGAATATTGCTTCATCTTCATCCAGATCTTTGGCCGCTTCTCGTTCGTATAAAACTTTGGATACCTATTAATATATATTATATTAAAATAAATCCATAAATTATCTAAGAATAAAGAACTGACAATAATCAAAACTACCATTAAAAATAAAAGCTTACAGTTGATTCCTCAAGTTCTTCTTCAGGTGATGTTCTTTTCGGTACTTTCATAGGAATGTATTGATTTCTTAACACCTCTTTTCGTTTTTGTCTCTATAAAACCGAACAAATGGATGAATAATGACGCGTTTATATAAGTTCAATTAAATAATTTAAGACTCTGAGTATCCATAAACAAAACACACCAAATGCACCAAATCATCATTTGGATCTCGAATCTCGAGCATTTTATCTTCTCGAGAAAGAACAGGCAAAGGTTCCGGACTCATAGATCGATCGTACTCTTCAATCAACCCTTCCGAATCCTCATCCATCGTCAGTTCAATGTCACCCGTTTCTATAGTGTCACCAGCGCCAATAGTTCCACTAGCGGGATGAGTATTGAGTGCTGTCTCTAGCTCTTCTTGTACTTTAATGGCTTCTTGTCTCTGTTTTCGACGTAATTGTGCTAATCTTTTCTGTAATACGATTTCATGCATTGCTTTTAATTTTGCCTTTTATTTTAAAAAAGATCAGAAAAAAATCGAGAATTTTAGAATTAAACAAAATGCCAATGAATTTATATTACAAAAGATCAATGAGAAGCATACTTTAGCCTTCCACACCGTCGAAAGCTTCAACTGCAGCTCCCAATACTCTACGTCCACAGCCTCGCCGCCCGTCAATTTCTCTTGTATCCGCACCTGTAAGTCACGCAGTTGGTCGTACGTTTTGCCTGCAAATATTTTATCAAGGTCATTTTTTATTGGGGCGATCACATTGTTGGTGTTATTTGAAGGTTCCGCTTCTGCACGGAGTTCAGATAATTTATCGTCACAAACTACAATCATTGCCTTTTTAAGTTAGATTATTGAAATAGATATGGTATATCGTAATGTAGGATACAATGATTAATATAGGATTATAGGATTCAATAATATAATTATTAATTACGTACCCGCCAAAAATCGAGATTATCGGGGTTCCTCTCGAGATTGAGATATAATTGGATATCCTGGTGTAGTTCTTCTACTTCTTGTAAATTAAGATTCTATATAATTTAATTATTACTTTCTGTTCTTTATGAAATGCAGCAATAAAGTAAGACGATAAAAAAATACCTCAAAGATAGTATACGGCTCATCAACATCAATCTCAAGCGAGTCGTCCACGTCGTCACCTTCATCCGCCAACCGTAAGTTAATTGCAAGAATATCAATTGGCTTTGCACGGTTCTCTTTTATACGAATTTCGGCTCTCCTATTTGCTTGTTCGAGATGAAACTGTGAATTGTTAGTTATTCATTAGAGCTATGAAAATAATATTTTTGGTCAAAAAATTAAATTTTATTTATCTACTTCGTCTTCTTTAGATGCCCAGTCGCCCAATAATACTGCTTCAGCTTCACGCTGCTTTCTAGCCTATTATTGACATTTTTTGGTATTATTAGTAAATGGAAGATAAATTAATTTAATTAAGGATAAGCTCGTAATAAATAAATACTTGTTCCTCCTCACGCAATTGCCGTTCTATTTCCCTTTCAGCTCTTCTTTTTGTTAATTTTTCCAACTCGAGCTAAATATACGCAATTTTATTAATAAATATCGGCAACGACAGAAATCCAACTCCAAACACTCAAACAACGCGTGTTGCCTGACATACCTTCGTTTCTTCCTTACGATCCCGTTCTAGTTTCATTGCCTCTTCCGTGGAAATTCCCATTTTTTTATCCCGTTCCTTTTTCTTTACCCATTCGAATTTCTGCCCGAGATTCATATCGTTGAATGGATTATTTGCGTCAGAGTAGACAGACATTTCGATAAAGGACTGTTTTTCTTCTTCATGTTTCAGATGATCTCTTTTTGCCTTTGTTAGTTGAAATTTTAGTCATTTTTTTATAATAAAATCTTGCTTGATTCTATTGATTAAATATGGCAAAATTCGATTGAATTAAAGTATTAAATCACGTCAAAATACCTTCTTTTCTTTCTTTTTCCGGCTTTTTTCTTTGTCTTTTTTAGATTTCTTACTTCGGTTTGACCGTCTTTCTCGTTCCTTTTCTTCTTCAGAAGAATACGAAGAAAACGATACACTTCTTTTACGACGAGACGACGAAGAGTAATGTTCGTCAGAACTTTCTCCTGAATGATATTTTCTCGAGCTATGTTCAACATCTCTTGTTCTGGAAGAGTGATGGTTTGATTTGTAATTTGAATTATACTTGTGAGAAGATTCAGTGTGTCGTCTAGAGTGACGCGTAGAGCTTCTAGAACGTGACCGTGAACGATAGCTTGGTCTACGGAGACTTGTTGATCTAGAGCGGCTTTGTCGTGGCATTGTGGATTTTGGAGGTTTCTACGTTGATATTTTTTGGAAATGATCGCTGAATTTTATTATGAATGATCAATAAAATGAACTTGTAAATACAAACCTTGGCTACATACGTATATTAGAAAGATATTTTCAAAATTAATACTAATGAAATTATTATGCTCGTTATTATTTCAAGTTGTTAACTGTATCCTTAATACAGCATCGAAAAAAGGATTATGTATATATATATATATATATATATATATATATATATATGTGAAGAGATTTAATATTTGTAATAATAAAGTGATAATATAATATAATATAAAATTATCAAACATACATTTCAAAAAAATTATTGTATAACTTAAGTCTATTAAAACTACCTAACTCACCCAAAACTCTCTAAAGTTCACTTTTATTTTTTAAATATGATGATGATGATGAGAAAGAAGAAGATTATCATCAATAGCATTCATTTTTCCTTATCCCTCATCTTTTGCGTGGAAGATGAAGAAGAGAACAACGCATCAGAATCAGATGATCTCAAATTAGCCATCTGTCTAAATTCATTCAATAACCGTTTCCGTTCCTCCACGCTCAAATCTTCAAACAAAACTTCAACAACACCCTCCAACACAGCAGATTGATTTGTACGTGACATCTCGACAATAGTTTGTTTTATTCGTTCTTTACGAAGTTCTTCGATACGCGATTCGATTAAAGTTGGAGTTGACAATGAAGATGAAGTAGTTTTCTTTATTGATGACGATGCAGTTGATTTTGTGTTGGTCGTGTTTGTTATCTCTGTTCTAATGGCTTTCTTTTCTTTGTCTTCCGTAAGCGAAGTATCAGCAATGGTAGATTCACTATTATTGCTAGTTTTATTTTCAATAACACTATTATTAAATGATTCTCCGGCAGTTAATTTCTCAAACCACTTGACAATCTGTTCATCGTCCTCTTCCCAATCCCATTCATGATCCTGTTCAGAAACATCCTTACGAAACCACGCAATCAACAACTGCCGCATCTCATCACGCGAAAGTCGAGGATTCGCCTCCACTAATCGCCTAAACATGTATTCTTCATGTAACCGCCGTCTAACACGCCAATAGAAAAATCGTCGACTTTGTCGAAAATCTAATGATTTGCGAATGGCACCTTTTGCCTTCATTCGTCCCGGGGTATCATGTAACTCGGCGAACTGTAACGCAATCTGTGAATAAACAGGCAACAGTTCTTGTTCTCGAGCATCTAACCGTGCCTTTATTTCTTGTCGTTCAAGATCAGTCAAATTTGCAGAGTCGTTAACGGATTTTTTTAGTTGGCAATAAGTGTCGTCGAGTCTTTCAATAGTGGCTAATAATTGAGCGCGACGGAATTTTATTTCAACGAGCCCTTCCGGTTCTAATACTCCAGCACGGGACTTTTCATCGGCGTACATTTCCATGTAATCTTGGTTGATTGTCGGATCGAGAACTACCCATGCGCCACCACGAAGTTCTCCATTATATATAATATAGACGAATACTGGTTGCTTATAGTTGGATAGCGCGTCAACAATATATGAGCCGTATTTCAACACCTCGTCAAACATATCTCGTTGACCACCGGAAAATCCTCGCCAATTTGCGAATATAATTAATGGTAATTCTTCTCCTTTGTTGAAATCGTTAATCGCTTGAGCTGTCTTGTATGCGGAATTCGGGTACCATACTTGTCCAGCTTCCATCGTCACTTCTTCTCGCGAATCGGTGTTCGCCGGATCAGCAGGTATTGTATGTTCAATAGTACGTGTCTCTACAGCAATTACACCCATTGGTACACCACCAAGACGAGCTCTACCAACAACCTAACGATAAAAATAATGATAATGTTATCTCGCATAATCAATCAATTAGTTAATTGATAATCAATAAAAATACACCTACCACAGTTCTAGCCCATCCGCCCAAAGTCTCAACAAATGATCCACGATCAAAGAATCCACTCAACCAACTATCTACATCGCCTTCAATTTCATATTTACCCGCGATAAACCATCTCGGATCATATGATCCTTTCGGGGGCATATAATCAATTTCACGATCCCAGTGATCCGCAGAGTTTACAATAATTGGGACCGGGGATCTTCGCTGCGCCGGAATGAAAGACAACCATTGAATTATTTTACTGACACCTTCTAGATCATTTTGTGCGGTTAGATGTGAAACGCCATTCTTGTACATTATTTGAGTACCACCAAGTTGTAGATTTGACGTGTAAACTTCACGACCAAGTACTTTATTAAGTGCTGGTGCACCGGTAAGTATGATTGGTTGTCCTTCATTTTGAATTGTGCGTTGTCCTAGTCTCACTAAATATGCTCCAATACCGACCGATCGACAAGTAACCAAAGTAATAGTGAAAATATCTTCATATGCACGTGAAGTAGCTCCAGCAATTAATCCCGATCCCTTCAAGCATTCTACACCAATTCCATCTTGAATTCCAATTATATCCGTTAACTTATACCTAATTTCACCGCCTTCCTCTTCAATTTCCTCCGTAATAACAGATCTAACTGCACACTTTTGTTTATTCAATTGCTTATATGTTTTCGAATCAATATATAAATACTCCACGCCTTTTATCGGATTTTCTTTATCAACCCAAGCAACCTTGAAATGATTAAGAATCTCTTCGGCTAATCCAATTCTAGCTCCTGAATTAGCCGACAGGTAAATTCTCGGGATTCCCAATCGTCTTGCCATCTCTGATGCTTTATAAAAGAAAAAGTCTTCGGCAGGACCAAAGGAACCAATTTGATAGGTGATATCATTGGCAATTACTATAATTTGACGTCCATTCGGATATTCGGGTGTGTATAAAGTGAATACCCACGCAACCATGCCACATGTATTGGTGCCCGCTGCACGATCGACTTCTTGAAGCTCATCTTTTTCGTCTAGTAATAATTCTTTTGCTTTAAGTAAAGTAGAGGGAATTTTTATTTCTTGTTGCTGTTGTTGTGATTGATCATTATCGTTAAATAAAGAAGCTGTAGCAGTTTTTTGTTGTTCAAAAGTTTCTATAACACGATGCCATTGACTTAACAAAGCTTGGCGAAATAATTCTGGGAAATCATAAACATACGTAGTACCCATTAAATGCGCTTTATATCTTCGTGGTTGAAGCCATTCTTTGGTGGCATATGGAGTGCTGATTGGTTGTAAATGCATCGAACCAGGTGTACCCATCGACTTCAATATCCAAACATCCCGTTCTGTTTTCACTTCTTGATATGATTCAACTTTCAGCACATATCCCGATACATTATTAATGATTACACGTAATGGGTAATACCCGACACGTTTAGGATCTTCAACTTTAAAACGTACTTCTGCTCCAGTTACGCGAAGCCGCCACAATCTTTTCCCATGTCGATCAATAAATCCAGCCAGTGCATCCTCAACTTCTTGATATTGTAACACGAAAGTCGGTATGAAATTGATAAACAAATGATTACAATCCGAATTTTTGTGTTGCGAACTGACAATTTCTAACGCATCCAAGATATCATTCAACAAACGATCAGATTCCGAGATAAGATAGTCAGCTGTACGAACACTATTACGTAGTCTGCCTGGGCGCACTAACGCCCGAATAAAGAATCGGCAATCGGATGGATTTTCTTTTCCGACTGCAAAGTATATGTGTATTTGTCGATTTGACGTAAAACATGATTTGATATCGAAATTTGATAGTCGTGATAACTCTAGCTGATAGGCCATAGCTGGTTCAATGTGACGTATTGTAGGATCTTCAGTAAATCCGGTCGATTCTCGGAAAGTAAGGTATCCTGGATATTGTCCTTTGCGAAATAGTATAATAGTCGCACGTCGTATTCCATGTTCTCGGAATTCTACAGCATGTTTTTGCATTACAGGTTCAAATCTTTGTTTTAATGCTTCATCGTCAAAAAGATCATCTAGCCTTAACGCTATATTCAATACATTATTGATATCATCACTTCCTCCCAATACTCCCCCATTATCATTATTGTTGTCGATTTTGGTATGATTAACGTTATAATTTGTAGATAGTCGATTTAACCTTGGAAATTTCTCAAGAATCCGCGGTAAATTAGCCACAATTTCTTCATCAGACACACACGACATCATTGCTCCAACACGAATCGGTTCTGACTCTGTACGTGGAATCATATAACTCATATCGGAAACCGAACCAATTCGTTTCATATTAAAATCGAATTCATAATTAAAAGTGGGTGTGGGTGCAGTCGTGGTGGTTGGTGTACTGGGTGTATTAGTGTGTAGTGTGAAGTTCCAAGAGACCATGAATGGCACTTGATCCGTATAATATTCAACGTCTAGTACTTGATATGCACGATATGCTCTACGTGCATACACTTCTAGCGCGGCCAATCGAATCCAGTTATCATCATTGTAAAAGAAATTTGGTAGTACGTCAAACACTGCAAACCGTGTATCAATCAATTCTTTAAGTGAATCGTAGCTCGGTTTATGGTAATCATATCCATCGTCACCATAATGACTTTCTATCACGGCCGCCTTCAATATCTGCTCCATTTGTGCCATTCGTTCTTCATACGATGGTAAATGACAATGAATCAATAACTCACGAGCTTTAAGTGCAACTTTGGACATCATACGACCATCAAGTTCTGTCAAACTTTTCAGTACAGGCGAGAAAAATCTATCAAGTGCTTGCCCTACGTTGCTTGGTTTCACTTGATCCAGCAAATTCAAAATCAAATTATTTTTCGCGCCTAATTTCGAATGCGAGAGTACAACCGCAACAATTGTGTCAATGTCCTTGAATTTCTCCCGAAGCGACAGAACAACATCTTCTTCGCGTTTCTTGGATTTTGCGAATAACACTTCAACCTCATGAAACATATTCAGGAACCGACTAATTTCCGTCCATTCATGGCACTTTAGTCCGAGAATGTATCGATCAACCACCTCAATCAATGGCGATATAGTCGCCGTGAAATTTATCACGTCAGCAGAATTAACAAAATCGCGTGTATATTCGGAAATGATTTCTTTTAAATGTTTTGCAGGGAATTCTAATTTATTTTCGTGAGACATTTGAACACGTTTGTGTAGCGAGGTATCAAGTTTTATGGGAATACGACCAGACAACGCTGCCAGTGCAGCCTCGAATTCGTAATACGGGAGTTCAGGATTTCGTAGCAATTCAATCAATTCTTTGACGCAACTTTGTAGTAGTGTTTGATTGTCGTAGCCTGCTAATATATATTCGAGAATTTGAGTCACTTCACGAAATCGTTGGTGTGGTTTATCACCGATAATTACGGGTGGTCCCATCGGCGGTAGTTGACCTTCGAAAGGTTGTGCATGACGAACACGACTAGGATCATCGAGCGTTAATATCCCTATTATATCACCTGCTTCTAGACTAGCATTAGGCTGTTTAATGAATTGTACTATGCCATCCTCCGTGACAATAAGTGGCATATACATTTTCATTACCTGATATTAAAATATTCAAATATTATTAGATATAGTATTTATATTTAAAGTACACTAATAAAAATAAAAATAAATTACTTCAATTTCCGCATACGCGTCACCCCCATTAACGTGATCACCAGACTCTACAAGAAACCTCACAAGTTTCCCAGGCGAAGGTGATCTCAACTGTGTAGGATCATTTTCGTGTTCCAACAAACAAGTCTTACTATCAATCATCAACCGAGTGCCTTGCACATCCTCACGAAAATAACACATGTGACTTTTCCCGTCCAATAATACCAACAGACCACCATCAGTCAAGGCACGGACCGAGACTTCAATTTTCGACCCGTTCAAATAAAGTGTGAAAGAATGTGGCGCAGATCGCGTCGCGGTGAATCTATAACGTACTCCTTCATAAATGAAATCGATTGTGAATACCGTTTGTAAGATGTTCTTGTTGGGAATTTGTCCTTTTTCTAGAAATCTTTTGTATTCATTGATTGAGTCGGCTGATGCGGTGTATGCTTTTGTCACGGCGCCGCAAATAACAGCCAACATTTTTTCGGGGCGTTCTGCGGTTAGGTTATCATCTGAAATAAGCATATCCAACCACCCGGTTGTGATTTCATTATCTTCGAATGCTTGTGTCTCTAATAATTTTATAAGATATTCGACTGTTGTTCGAAAATCACCTCTAATCGAAAGTTCTTTTAAAGCAACCACCATATTCTTTCGTGACTGTTGTCGATTCTCACCATACGCAAAAATATGGCCAAATTGTGAATCGGCAAACTCGTGTAATCCCCCCGCAGAATTAACCGAGAAATATCCCCACACATTTGTACTACTTCGGAAATTGAGTTCGTGCATCATTCCACTACTAGGTTTGAATCCTGCATCGGGATTCTCAGCGGTAATTCTTACGGCGATTACGTGACCTTTTGGTGCCGGTTTACGTTGAGTTTGTAATGATTGCAGAGTCAAGAAATCGAAATCTATTTCTGAGGTGCCATGTGGTTCTACTCCGTATAGAACGCGAATATCACGTATACGATGAAGTGGAATTCCCATTGCAATTTGTAACTGAGCAGCAGGTAAATTGACACCGGACACCATTTCAGTGGTTGGGTGTTCTACTTGTAGTCTTGGATTAAGTTCAAGAAAACAGAAAACCCCATTTTCATGACTATATAAGTATTCGACAGTGCCAGCGCTAACATATCCAACTAATTTTGCAAGTCTGACCGCAGATTTTTCCATAGCATCAAATGTTTCACTTTTAGCAATTGTTACCGGAGCTTCCTCGATAATTTTCTGATGTCTTCGTTGCACCGAACAATCCCGTCCAAACAAAGAAATTGCATTTCCATATTGATCAGCCAATACTTGAACTTCAAGATGCCTTGCATTCCCAGCCAACTTCATAATAAATATCGGTGATCCGGGCACTTCGCCCTGCACCTGACTATAAGCCTGTTTAAAATGCTCGGGGTTCTCAACCTTTCGTATTCCTTTACCACCACCACCTTCCGACGCTTTAATCATCACCGGAAACCCAATTTTCGATGCTTTTTCCAGACCATCTTCGGCATCTTTAACACACGCCTTCTGGTAGACACTATCAGGCACCACGACGTGACCGTGTTGATCTTCTTCAGTTTGATTAATTCCAGTGCCGCTCCACTCCATTGTTGGAATGTTTGCTGATTGTGCGACGATTGTTGAGGAAATTTTGTCGCCTAGTGAGCGCATTGCTGAGCCCGGTGGACCGATGAAAACTATTTTGTTTTTGTTGTTTGCAAGTGATTCTGGTAGTCGAGGGTTTTCGGATGCGTGACCCCTGTTTGTATTGAGAAATAAATCATACAATATAAATAATCTTAAAAATATACTTGATTGAGCCAAAGCTAGTAAATTACCATCCCGCCCAAACAGCATGTACACCGGTTCTTTCAGCAATATCCACAATCAATGCGACATTGGCATAATTATTATTATTAGACCCGCCGGGCACTTCAATATACTGATCTGCCATCCTAATATACTCTGCGTTAGCTTTTAAATCTTCCGGCGTGGCCATAACCGTGAACTGAATCACACGTTCGTCCCCGAAAGTTTCATACGCCCATTTTCTGACCGATCTGATCTCTTTTACGGCCGCGATTCCATTGTTCGCAATCAGAATTTTGGTGATTACCGTGTGACCGTGGTATTTTTCTACAAAATCACGTACGACGCCTCGTGGTGCTGATTTTAGGTTGTTACCTCCTGTTGATTTTTGATTTTATTAGGAATGTATGGATATGGTTTTTGAGTAAATCTTTTTAAACGATGGTGACGGTGATGCATTTATTTCATTTATTTTAAATTCGTCAATTTCAACCATCTTATTTTTGTTTGTATACGTCAAGGATCATGAAAACGAGAACCATTGATATGGTTAAAAACAGAATCGAAATATTTCATACCGATGAATTGGTCCACGATATTATTCATATTCAATTAATTAGTACTATCGATGGATATTATAATATCAATTGCATATAACGATGTTATATATTAAGAGTATAAGTGCTTCTGATATTCACTACGCGCATACGCAAATACATTTAAAATCCCATCAATGGTCAACCGTAGATATATGTATTTAGATATTTAGTGTAAGTAATCATTCGATAACACTAGATAAAAACGACAATAATAAGAAGACCTCAAGAGAACTTTTTTATTTTGTGTTATATATCGTTGTCCACTTTTATTACAATTACCACTTCTTTTCTTTTTCGGCGATCCAACCAGAAAAAACCAACGATAGCATACATATTTATATTTATATCTTATAATGGGAAAAAATAAATAATATTAAATTCACGCCCCAAGAACCCAAAAAAATTTTTAGTATCAAAGCTGCCACATGAAATCCATATGCGCGTCTATGTAATATGATTAATCTATGTAATATGATTAATCAATTAACTAGCCATGAATTATCCGAAATTCTCGATTAAAATTCTCTATTAGTTAGTTTATTTTTTGAGTAAAAATATATATGGAACGCGATAGAGTAGGCAATGGCTTGTACATCACTTCCCTCTTTTTTCTCGGGTTACTGACTGCAGCTGTTTTGTCGGCTTCCGCTGCCGATATTATAAAGCAAACTGAGTATAAGAATCCGAGACGCTGGCTTTTTCTTTCTCCTGTTATCGGTGGATATTTCCTGATGGTTAGTTTGGTTATATAAACAAATCAAGATACTTAGCATTCTCATATCCTAATTACTAATATCACTGTTTATTATCATCATAATTAAACAAATACAGGGCATCACAGCTGCAACGATAGGCTTCTGTCGCTTGAGATTTGTCAAAAAAGCCGTAAAAAACATTCCCAAATCTTTTCTTCCGATAAAATCAAGTGATATTCCCAAGGTGATGATGAATGAATGGTGATGATGATGTATTGATCTATCTCTTTTTTACTTATCATGTTTTGAATATGTTATTATCTCGCCCTCTATTAATATCCTTATCTATATATTATAAAAGCCTGTATATAATTTTATTAGTTCAGAATTAACAAGAGTTTCGATGATTGCGCTTGAAGGTGAACCTCGTCCTGAGGATAATGGACAACCGGGCTGGGGGCGTCCAGGTATTTATAAATATCTATTAATCCATATACACGATTAGTAAATTAAAAATTTGGTATATCTCTTTCGTAACAAATAAGGATCATCTCTTGAAAATATTCACTTCAGAACTACTATATCTCAGACGCCCAGTATAATAGGTGAGTAATATTAAGTAACACAATTAATTATTTTATCATATGTTAACCTCCATAATCATATAAAGAACAAGTTGCGGTCGAGAGTTCATCCCTCTGGCGACGCCAACCTTCATTATCAGTACATCGATATATTGAATTTCTGATTGAATATAATGTGGTTGATCGTCAAATCGGGTACCTGTATATCGAGGGCTATGAACGTGCTCGATTTGGTGAGGACGAGTTCACCGAACAACAGTTTACCGAGTTTTACAAGATTGTGACTGTTTTATTGGAGATGATTAAAAGGTAACTCTTCGTTTTGGAGGAATGCAAAGTATTCGGAAAGTGTAATTCTTTGATTCCTTGTGATATAGCATATATGCGTATACAAAAACCATTATTAGCTACATAAAATGATTTATTTGAAAAGTGGTGATTGGTTTTTGAAAAATGGACAAATTCGTTCTTCCAACAATTGCGAATAACGCCTCATAAAATTTTGTACATGCATAATTAAGTTCTTAACTAACTCCTTTATATTTTTTTTTAATTATTTAATAGGAATTCAATTGTCTAGGAAAAAGATTTGAATAAACTATTTTACGCGAGATTTTCTGCGCCACGAATATCTATACATAAATAAGAGTGTATGCGCATGCTGGGATTATATTCAGATGTATTAGTTTCGGGCTTTACTATTTCTTTCTGTTTGTATAATATACGCATATAATATAGAAAACATTTAATTTAATGTAACAATTATTCTTGAAACTAGTACTGTAAAATGTGTTACTGTATTTGGTTTAATCAAAAATTTATTGTTATAGAAATTAGCATGGTGATCATTACACAAAAGGTCGTTGCATTAATAAAAAATTGACTTTTTCGGTTATCCTTTATCAGTATATTAGCAGATAATTATCCGTATTCGGATAGTTATCCGGACCCAACCACTATGATTTAATACACATGTATATGACAATGATAACGAACTAGGAATTATTCGAAACCACTTGATTTAATCTGTTTCCATATTATTAGCACCACCGCCACTATTGACTTCTTCCTCCTCCAAGACTTTTAATCTTCTTCGTAACGCTTCTTTGACAATAGCACATTTCTGAATTAGTATCCCGATAGATCGTTGGAATAGAATTTCGGGTGGTAATATTCCTGTGCTCTCGATGTTAACTACAAAATTCAATATATATTAACAGAAAATAAATAAACATCATAAACCGATTTAATAAAAAGATAGATTACAGATAAAGTGATCCCGGACTCGAGTCAACTGCACAATATCTTGAAATTCCTTGTGTCGGAGTACCTCACGACTTACAGTGTCTTTTCTGGGGTTTACCACTTTAGCGACTTTTTCGCCTATCAAAGTAAACCAATGACATTTTACATTAAATCAAATTTTATTAATGGAAATTAGATGACATTAAACTTAATAAAAAATCTTCTTACCATTCTCCTTTTCTATGACTTCTGCTACTCCCTCTGGAAAGCATGAAACGAATTTATACGCAAGGTCTCCTTTTATTTCTTTTTTTAGTATGATTTCAGGTAATAAACGGTATGAAGCGGTAGCTACAAAAGAATACATCAAAATTTAAATCAAGAAAAGAAAATGGTAATATAACAAAGCTTATAAAAATACTAGAAAATTTACCAACAGGAGACCATTTCGCGTGTTCTTTCCCTATCCCTTTTGCACAGTGAGCCTGTAAGAGAATTTTCTGGATTATAGCATAATAATCGTTGTATAAGTAACATGAATTAAGAAAGATAATGAATAATAAAAGATTGAAAAAATAAATGACCACTAATTCAAAATCCTTTGTTTGTTGAAAATTCATTATCGTATCACCTGTCCTGGTCTTAATTTTGCTAATAGAATATCATCATGCACCGGTTTGATCGGGTTATTTTCATATCTTACGCCTTGATCACCTTGAGGAGCCCATTTTAAATCTGAAGAATGGACTATCATCATCAACATTATAAAAAAAATAATAATTTAGAAAATTGTAAGTTGATTCATTAAACAATCATATTTGAATAATTCCTTCACCATTTGAATTAATAAATCGTTTATTCGGATCTCGCTCATTAGAATTTGCTGTTGGATTCTCTTTACATTCAATGTTTAACACGAAAACAATTGTATCTCTATCAGTTGGCGGATCGTCAGGATTCTCTAAAAATGTGTTTATTAACATAAATAAACAGCAATAATACTAAATATTTGCATTTATACACACTTGACCGAAAATCAAAATTTTCTGGATCAACTTTTATTGGAATCAAGCCTAATCGATGCGCAAGCACTTCATCAACTATTATCGAGGTATTGTTATGAACATAGACAGTTTCGATGGCCATTGTAGGTACCTGGGATTAAATAATAATGACAGCAACAACAACAATAATAATAACAATAATAAAATAGCTTGTCAGAAAACAATAATCTTCGGAGTACTAATAAGAAACAATCAACAAAATAAAAGTTTACTCTGCCTCAGCCAGTAGTATCCTACGAAATGCATTAGCTATCGAGGCATCGATACCGATCAAATCAAATTCCATTTCTGTCTTGGACAATCGATTTATCACTATTTTAAATTTCTTTCAAAGTGCGATAGAGATTGAATGAATCAACGTCCCTTTAATCAAAAAGGTTTTAGAAAAATTAGATAACACTACTTCTTTGAAACTATCAAAATTCCAGTTAGTGTCCATTCTTGCGCTCAGACCGGGAAATTCCATAGAAGATACCTATATATAAATAAGCAAACCCAAGTGATAAAAACATTAATGACATTTTGGGTTTTCGTAACTAACAGCTTATAATGTTATGTGAAAGTACACTTTTGACATGGTCTGATTCTATTATGACCCTGCCTCTTAGTAAGTTCAAGGCGTCATCGTTTGCTTGTTTCTGCGGTAATGCAGCCATGAGGTCCTTTAAAGTTTCCTGGACTGGCGTTTAAAGATTTTTTGGGTTTGCGCGAAATTCAGTCGATGGCGAATTACATGATTATAATGCTAGATGGCATTTAATGAAAAATGTGATACAATGAAATATTTTGCAAGAAAAGACCCACGACGAAAATGGATTTAAAAAGCTGGGAAAATGACCATAAATGATGAAATAAAGTTTCGCTTTTTTATTAATTTTTGTGAATCTGTGCTTTTGAAGTGTATGAGAATTGGAGTGTGCATGTTTAGGTTTTTTTTAAATATATTTTTCAAGTGAGTATATATATATACATGCATGTGTGGATGTTCGAGTGTTCTATCCTTTGCTAGTTACAGCAAAAAATGATTAATTAATAAATAAAAAACAAAAATATCAACAAATTAAATTTTAACAATTGAAAAGATAATGATTTTTGTTCTTTTTCGTTCTTTTATTTTGAAAGGTTAAATGATCAAGTTTATTCATTATAATTAATGGGAGAGAGATCGATTAAATTTATGAGTAAAGAATAATCACACAAGACAGTTAAGATTTAGGTATTTATTTTTATTTTTTTCATTAATGGTGATTATTAAAAATCACTAATTCTTTGAAGATTTTGATACTTCTCTATTCTATCATACTACTTTTTTTACGGGTGGTATGCCTCTCAAATAAATGGAGAAAATGATTTTTATTTTGTAAATTTTCTAATTTAGTAAGACAATTCACAAATAATTTCTTTCTTTTGTAGTTTTTGAATTTAACGATACCATTCGTGTTAATTGTTTTATTGCAGCATTGCAAGGTGATTATTTTTTATTTCCATTTCCCATATTAGAATTAAAATTTACTACTTTAGCAAGTAAGTAAGTGCATCATCAATTAAATATCTTATTTGAGACGAAAACATAGGCGTGAAAATAGGCCGGATACTTTGATAATTCTGGTGGTACGCGATGAGTTATACGATCATTGTTGTTGTTATTATTATCATTTAACAAAAAAACAATTCTAACCAGAAACGTTGTAAAAGAATATTCTACACCTATAAATACGACATCCATATTGCGCTTTAGAATTTTTCGGCATTAAATTTTTGCAATCACAACTTTTAATAGTATCTCCATCAAATACTAATAACTTTAAGCCGATAATTGATAATTAGTATTGGTCAAACATGGCTGAAAGAGAACATAAAGACAATAAAGTATCGGCTCCAGAGGTAAAAAAGAATTATTTTATTGTTCGATATAATAACACGATCTGCTTTGATGCCTTCGACGTATGACCTATCTGTTTATTGAAATTCATACTCACATTACATATTGCTGCTACATCTTATGATTCGCGTCATACATATATATATTATTGGGAGAAAAATCAATAGCTAATCTCATTCCACTTAATCTTTTTATAAAAAAAAAAAAAAAGGATGAGAGTTCTCATAAAGAAAAAGAAATCAAAAAAAATCCCGCCATCACTTCCCAAAAAACATCAATGGGAATCGATCCTGCAGCTGATTCAACAGCCGTGATCCAAAAAGTTAAAGAAATCTCAGAGATGCACGAGGAAGCTACTACGGCTAAGAATAAAAGTGATATTAAGAAACCCGCACATGGACGAGGCAGGCAAAAAAAAGCTAATGGCACTGGCGCAACCACTTCTACCAATATAGCCATCAACGACGCTGACCAGCCTGAACAAGCTAAAGAAATCATCACCGTACGTCGACCAGGAAGGCCGAAAAAAATTAATGGCGCTGAAATGAATTCTCAAACTTCCGAATCTAAAATACCTACAAACGAAGTTGATCAGCCGCCAAAGCAAAAAACAAAACGCGGAAGACCCAAAAAAAAAATTGACACGAGCCCAGAACCTGTCCCGAACTTTAGTAACGGTAAACAAAAGGAACGCGAAGTCCCTTCTGAAGTTACAAAAGAAGTAAAAAAATCAGAAGATGGGCGAGGCAAGAGAAGAAAATTTAATGAAATTGAGAAGGAGACGTCACAAGTATAATTTTAAAAAGCATTTCACTTTAATTATATAAATATCAATCTAACCGATCTTCTTTTCAGGATCATATACCTGAACACAAAGAAGTAGTGATAGGTTTAAATCAACAAGACCTTGATATTCGGATTCCAGACGCGCTCAAACTCAAACTTGTAGATGATTGGGAGTACGTTACAAGACTTAATAATGTAAGCAGCCGAAGTTGAGTTTATCAATTTCTTTTATATTTCACGATTCCTTTCTTACATTGTTAATAAAATTTTTTAGTACATAAAAACTCCGAGCTCTGTGACTATTAATCAGATTCTTGATAAATGGATGACACATCAACGTTTCGAAGATTGCTCCATTCATAGCACTTCGAATATTGGCGAAGATATGATAACGGCTTCTAAAGATGATAATAATGATGCCGAGAGAACGGCTTCCAAATACCACGTTAACGGTAATATCGAGACTGTGTGCAATGCTCAAACAGACGAAGTCGTAGAGAATAATCAAAATCTATTATCGGCCGATGATGCTATGCCATTATTGGAAAATAAGTAAGCATAAATTCTTTTACATCTTTTAATACTTTTACTAAGCTTTTATATGTTTTATAGTGATATCTACCACCGAGTCGTTGCTGGTCTAAAGAGCAACTTCGAGTGTGCCGTAAATTACGATCTTTTATATAACGTGGAAAAACCTTATTTGGTTGACCTCAAAGAAAATTACTCCGGCATTGAATTGTGCGATGTTTATGGCGCGGAACATTTGCTGCGTCTTATTGGTAATCACTTATATAAACGCACTCTAGGGAATTTTGCTAAATACTAACACCTGTTATGTTATACTTGATTTGCAGTTAAACTGCCGTGCTATTTAGCGTATTCGGATATTGATCGTGAATCCGCTCGAGAACTAAAAGTTCGGTGCGATCAAATAATGACGTGAGTATCTTTAAAAAGATGAATGATGGTTTCAGTTTTTTAAAATATCATAAACCTCATTATTGCTTTATAATTATAATTATAATTATAATAGGTTTTTAATTAAAAACGTCGATGAGTTTTTCCTCCCTCCACCTTCCTCTCTAACTACAGCAGTAACAAGTAGCCCTGCCAAAAAACAAAGAAATAGCATGAACAACAATAAAGGTAAAACAAGGTTTCCTCTATTGTTATAAGTTGTCTATTTTAATTCCAGAAATTCTTAATTTATCCTTTTCAGAAGGTGTAGAGTGCGCAAATTGCAGCACAACCACCACCGCGGTATGGCGAGCTGGGCCCACCCAAGATCAGATCTTGTGTAATGGTAATTTTTTTTCTTAAATTTTATTTTTTAATCTTTCTTGTTATACAGCTCTATATTGTATATATATGTAATTTCTATTTTTAATATCAACAGCATGTGGCCTCTACTACAGCAAAAATAAGCAACATAGGCCTGAACGATTATGGAAGCATTAAGTTAATAAAAAAATATTATCAATCGTCATCCTCTTTCCTCTTAACATGTGACACTTTTATTATTATTATTCGAATAAATGTGATGCTCATACTTTGAGAATATCAAAAATAAACACATTGGCTTATTGTTGGCTTATTGTTATCTAGACTTTATTGATTTTATTCAACAAAATTGTCAACGTGCACCAAATGGGATCATCCTTACAGCAAAGTAAGTTTATTATTGGTGAACAGTCTATAGCGCAACAATTGTGAGAATAAATATTATTTTTATGTTTGTTATTTAGAAATGTGTCGAAGATTTGAACACACGACATTTATTAAATTATAGGCAGCGTCAAAGAATTCGCACTCGCGACATTTTTATCATATATTCACTCTGGGTCCAATTCACTTCGATAATGAAACAATGCTTGGGCAGATTATTTTTCAGAATAATCATATTACGTCTATTAGATGGTAGACATAAAAGAAGAGTACATGTATTTTGTTTTTGCATTTGATTTTAATAGCGATGGTTCTTTTTAACAGGCAATACAGTGCACACCGTAAATAATGATAAGTTTTGATAAAATATTGCTAGAATCTTATAGTATAAAAAGTAATTCTAGTATTTTGCCAATTTTTACAGAAAATAACCTTATATTTTTAAGTTATAATAAAAATTTGGTATATATTGTTTTTCTAATGTGTAGCTATAAACAGCAAGTGAACAACAATTATTTCGCAAACGTACGAAAATTAATCACGTTTTTTATTAATACACAAAAAAGAAGTTGATTTAGCAAATAACTGCATAAACACGAAGAAACCGCTTTTGGTCGTTAATATCGACATCTAATAAAGTTAATTTAATTCGAGTATAAAAGTAAAGTACTATTTTCTTCTAACAAAGAACAACCACCGTTCATTGTAGTGATTCATTTTGAATCTGTAGTTTTTCTTGCAAGCCACTCATTCTCTTTGATTTCAAATGGTGTTGTTTTGCACCAAAGAAAATCAATGAAAAAATGTAAGTTTACCTTTGTTTGGAGAAATACTGCATTTTAGAGCAGTCTGAAAAACTTGATCATTCATTTTTATAAGCTCTTCCATAATTCCACTTGTAATCGTGCAGCTATACTTTATAAATTGTTACAAAACCTCCTGCTGCAAGATATTCAACGTTGTTAAATCTTTCAAAAGGGATTCTTTTATTAGACTGTCGATATCTTTATTTTCGCTAGACAATTTATCTTTATAAAGTTGATATCGATCAAACATCCATAGCAGTACCTACCCAAAATTTAGTCCAATTTTTTTTTAGTAAAACCAATTATTTTGTCAGCAAAATGAATAAAACAAATATTCACAGTGCAATTTCTTTGTTACTAAATTAATACGTAGGTTTAAATTTTCTATGCAGTGCAGTACTCATTTTTTCAGTAATCATGTTAGATCCCATTTTTGAGTCCACACTTTACCATTACTGATTACACTTGGAATCCATAAGCAAACGAAAATTAGATTTTAAATTGACCAAAATATCTACTCATTCGCCCTTACCTCTCATATGGGCTAACTTGGCTCGCATAATTTAAAAACTTGAAACTGAAATCTTTTAATAACTGATGATTCTTATATTCTGATACAAGACTTTTATTAAATTACGATAATTAGTGAAATATTGAGAATCTATTATAAAAATCGTTACACCGAAGGAAATTTTCTTGGAAGTGTTTTTGGTTTGTCATCGCTATAACGATAACGAGTATCGTTATTCTGAGGTTTGTATTAGAATTTTATCGATATACCATAATAAATTCTCATCCCGACCATACCGTTATATCGAGGTCTACTGCTGTGGTCTGTACATTTGCATTTCGCTATTAAAAATTTCGTATCAAATCTACACGTATGAGTGAAAAACAATATCTCGTTATTTGTCTATATCACTAAAAAAAAATGATAAATAAATTCATGCTTTGAAACAACGAAAAAAATAAAATAAATAGTTTCTACATAACAGCAACAGCTATTAATTCTATTCATTGTTTTTTCCAAGTAAATTGATTTGATTATACCGAATTACCAATGATACATTTAAAAATTGTTCGTCCGAACTGAAAGATCTCAATTAAAACAAATTGTATGTTTTAAAGTTCTATAACTTCTTAATTAAAAGATTTGTATTTAATTCCTAAAAAGCACATCTGGAATGCTAAGAATCGGTGACTTGACATTCGCCAAATACACAGTAAACCTCGATAAGACGACATCTTTCATGCAGGCCTAGGTCTTCTCAATTTTTGACTCTTAATGAGGATAATTAAAGGTTTCAGCTTAAAGAGAAATATTGTTATTCATTTGACATGTTGGCAAAAACTTCAAAAGTCCTGTAAGTTGAATTAATTCATTATGTTCAAAAAAAAGTATAAGATTGATGAATGGAAAGAGGTCAACCTTTCCATTTTATATATTTGTTGAGGTTACGTTAATCAAAACTGGAGGAGCTCAACTGATAAATTCAATAATACATACTTCTCATATATAGAACTAGGAATATTTTTTGATCAATAAACAAGGAAATCTACACATTCAAGACAGTTGGTGCAATGTTGATTGTAATGAGATCTTGCCAGAAATCCGGTTGTTAGAGGATACCATCTCATAAGTGTGTTATTATTTTAATCTATTACTTTTATACTACAAAGTTAATATATTGTGGGACAGCCAGTAAAGCAAAGTAATATCATTATAAAGGAACCATTGCTTTGCTTTTCCGGAGGTATGTTTCGGTCGTCGTCTTGCTGAAATATGACTTCGTTATCCTTGGGCATTTAATATATCTATGTAAACGTCAGCATCCATTTTGCCGTCGATTTTTCGGAGTTCGCCAACTCCGTCGGCCGTCAAGCAGCCCTAAACCATAATCGCACCGTCGCCAAACTTCACTGTTGGCACGACATGCTGGTCTTTTAAAGGTCCACCCAGAAATATTTTCGCCCGTCCGACCCGAATTATTCGTCGCAAATCATAGACCGTCCGGTATTTTTTCTCCCAAGAAAGTCTGTCTTTTTGAGTAGAGGCTTTTTTCGCTTAATAAGCTATTCTCCGGATCATACGTCGTATGCGCTCTACTGACAAGGAAACTCTAAACTCAGTTTGAAGCTCGACTTGAACGGCAATAGTGCATTTTCCGAAATGTATTAATCGCATAACATTCCGTTCGTAGCGTTCCGAAAGAGTTCATGGACGACCGGATTTTGGCTTGTCATCGAAACTTCGGTTTCTTCTTATTATTTGTATATTCGATGGACGGAAACTAAGCGCACTTGCGATTTCTCGGACCGTATATCCGGTCGCGTTTTGTTTGCGAAATTCGAAGTATTATGAGATAAAAATGGTTGAAATTATCGTATGAAATAAAGGCAATGCGTTCTATATATAGTGTAATGAGAATAATAGAGCATTTATACGTATTTTATGGGCTTGAATTCCTTGTTCGAATCCGGTCATATTAAACGGAACGCTAAAAAAATAATTTTATAACTGATTCCTTCATCGTGAGATATTTGAACTTTGCCATTTTTTTTCAGTCCTCCGTTTCTTCTGTGAGCCATTGTATACAAGTCTGTAAAGATGCTGTCGATATTTGCTATATACTACATAATTCCGCTCGCTGTGCACCGTAATGTGGTGTATCGTGTAATGTTAAGGATTTTCGATTCATTACCACGAAGGTAGAGTGGTAAATGCACTATCACAGAGGTGATTACTTTTTATTTTTTATGATATTTTAGATGCATTACCACGAAGATGGATAGATGCACTACCACAAAAGATAGTAGAAAATACACTACCACAGGTAGAGGCAGGGTTCTAAACTGGACTTAAAGTCCAGTGGTCAATGGCGCAATACTAGAATAAGTCCAGTAAAGTCCAGTTAACAACCCTGGGTAGAGGTAGAACACTACCACGAAGATGGTTCATTTTTGATACTTTAGATATACTGCCCCGGGTAAAGGTGCATTACCATTAAGGTGGATGGATGCACTACCACAAAGGTAGTAGAAAATACACTACCACAGGTAGAGGCAGGGTTCTAAACTGAACTTAAAGTCCAGTGGTCAATAGCGCAATACTAGAATAAGTCCAGTAGAGTCCAGTTAACAACCCTGGGTAGAGGTAGATACACTACCACGGAGGTGATTAATTTTGATATTTTAGATGCATTACACCCCGGATAAAGGTGCATTACCACTAAGGTGGATGGATGCACTACCACGGAGGTGATTATTATTTTTATGATATTTTAGATGCACTACCCCGGGTAAAGTTGCACTACCACGAAGACATACTACCATGAAGGTAGCTATAACAAAGGTATGCACTATCGCGAAGGTAATTACTTTTAAATTTTTTAGTTATATGTATATTTGTTACTACCCGAGTAAGGGTGCATTACCACGAAGGTGGATGGATGCACTATAAACTAGACAACGTTTAAAAATAAATGTTATTATTAAGATATTTTCCCGTAATATCGACCATTCTTCAGCTTTACATTTAATAATGTTATTTACCTTTGCTGTTGCTTACGCGTGACTGTTCTTGTAATAAACGTTGACTTTTTCTTTGTATTTTAAGTTGTTCCGCCTAATATACCAACAACTGTTAGTTTGACCGATTATCTCTTGGCTTTGTTGTATTGACTTTTAACAAGTCGCTCTTTTGATTAATTTGTTCATTACCTCTAGCGCTAGTATTCTTTTAAAAAAATTTTTATGATTCACACATCTCGATCATCTATATGTAAATAAATCTTTGCTTTCATTGGGGCTAAATTACTCTTAATAATGCTAAAATTACTAATTTCCATTCCAAGTTCTGATTGGTTAGCATTAGGGTTAGAATCAAGAATATAATACCGATACAAGAACAACAAAATTACTAGACTATTCCGAGTCTAAAACTAAAACTACTCAAAGACAAACTTAATTTAAGACAAAATTCTTTAT